AAAAAAATTAAAAGGCAAATGTAGAAATTCATTGGTTGATACAAAACAAAACATTCACAGCAGCACCCTTTGTGGTGGCAAAAAACTGGAAACAAAGTGGGTGCCTGTTGATTAAGGGAAGGCATAAGAATTTGTATTATGTAAATGTAATGAACCAGCATTGTACCAAAATAAATCACGAATGTGAGGAATTCATAGAAATATGGGAAGACTTGTAAGAATTGATGCAGAACAAGGACAGCAGAATCAAAAAAAAATACATACAGTGACTATACACAATATACACAATGTAAATGAAAACTCTCAACTCAAATTAATTACAGTAAACAATCTGGGATGCAGAGAACAGAAAATTTAACACATATCCCCCTGCTCTTAGTAGAAAAATGGGTACTACGGGTACCAGATACAGGAGCTTCCCTCATCAGACATGGCTGTCAATTATACTTAACTCTTTTTTTTTTAAATTACAATGGAAGGTTCGATGGAGGAAAGGAAATATATCTGAAAATGACTATGATGTGCAATAAAAATTCCAAAACACATTTTTTTAATGGAAAAAAACCTTAGGATGAGTCTGGCTCCTGTAGCCACACTGAGACTTAACCTTTACATGAGGAAGTTGAAGCTAGGTAATGAGACACACTTACCATGTCTCCCAAATGATTCATAGCCAGCTCAAAGGTGTGAAGACCAAGAGAGAATTCCAGGTTGTGGGTGGAAATGTATTTCAGGTTCTTTTCCCAAATCAGACGTCGAGAGATCTCATCCACCTAAGCAGAGCAGAGATAGCAATGATGCTGACTGAACATCCTTTGTATACTATACTACGTATAGCCCTAAATTAAGTACTATCAGGGATTCAGAAGGAAGAAAGACACCAGATACTCCCATCCTCTGAGAGGACAATGTGGGGAAACTAAATATATGTGCATGAGAAAAAAAAATTTAAGAGTACTTATAAATTAGTACATAAATGAAAAATATTACAGTCATATTAAGTTCATAAGTTCTGAGATATCAGCCAAGAGAGTATGCAGAATTGGATCAGATTATTCCGGGAAGTCTTTTGGAAGAAAGCAATGTGAGGTAGTTAGGAAGGACATAAGAGGAAGGGATTTAAGGTTAGGATAACAAGTTGGGGGGAGGCTTGGAGGTCAGAGGGGGTAAAGTATTAGTGAAGAACAGGGACAGATTTGCCTAGAGTGGGAAATTTATATTGATTTATATTGAAGGGCATCTAGTAGTTAAAAGAACAATGTTATAAGGTAGAAGAAACTTTGACTCCTCAAATACTTTCAATTGGCACAACCCAGGCCTCCCTCCAGGTCCCCACACACCTTGCTGTTATATTCTTTTCCATAGGATTTCTTCCACAACTTCCACTGTGTGTCTAACATCTCCTCTGGGTACAAAGCAGAACTCACCACCGATGGCAGCAACAGCAACAGGATGCTGAACCCCCACATCCTGAGGGAAGGAATACTGTCCAGATTTTGGATGTGCAAGGGGTATATATGAAAGCTGTATTCAAATTCCAGACCACGGATAATGGGGGTGAGGGGAAACTGTCACATTGGGAAGGGGGACAGAGTACTGAGAATGGTTTATGACCAAAGAATAAGAGTGAGGATTCCAGATCTGGATGAAATCTAAACATCAGACAAACACATTGTTTTTCTCATCTAGTCCCTTGACTCCTTCCTGTGTACTTCATCCTGGTGAAACATCACCCAAACACACACAATAGAGAAACACTAATAAATATGTATACAGAGATGTATCTAGGGCAGAGCAATTAGACCTTTGCACTCAATTTAGAGGGCACTGCTAGTATTTGTAATTCTTCAGTAGTTTAGTGCTATTAGAAAAAAGTTAATTAAAATAAGAAATTGACTAGATGGTGGACTGAGGAGTGTTCCAAAGTCTGCTCACACTCCCACACATATCCATTCCTTCCAACTGAGCCCTCATTTTGCGCTGTTTGCCTGGACATAGTTTAGCATACTTGTCTTCAATGCAAAGGTTTCTAGCTCTGCATATGTGGAAGGAAAAGGTAAAAATGATCTGATTAATATCTTCTCCCTCTCCCTCCAGTATGCCTAGCAAGCTTGGAGGGGATGATAAGGAAAAGGGAATGGCCAAGGGCAGGGTAGAGGTTGAATAAACACTACATAGAGGTTTAGATCTGATCAGTGGATCTCCTTAGACTCTGACCTACTCTTCTTTCAAAAGAACCCTTCCTAATTTCTTAGATATATATGGGACTGCTGAGCCAAAATTTGCTAACTGGAAGGATTTTCCTCCCTGTCCCAATCTGTCTAGCTTTCTCTGCCTCTCATTCTCCTTACTTATTTCTATCTCCCTCTCCCTAACTTCCCTCCAACATCCTGCCCCCTCCTCTACTCCCAACTCTACTGCCGTTTCTCTTCTTCCTCCTTTCTCAGGAAACTGCTCTAATATCAACCAGCTGCTGTGGACAAAAAGTTTCCCTTTCTTTTCTACTGTCAGAAGCCCTGTTGCTACATCCCAAGAGAATCAAGCACGAAGATCACGTCAGAAATCAGGCAGCCCCGAAGGTCAAGTATCCAGTCCCCCAAAGACTCACTCTAATCTTTCTTCTGCTGTGGTTTAAAGCCTCCTTCACAGAAGCAGTTATGCAGAGCAACATGCCACATGGCATCATAATCCTAGGTACTAACAATTTTGAGTAAGCTTAGATTACCGAGGGCCATTTTGACCGTGTCTTCAACCCTTTTCATGATTATACCTGAAGTATTAAAGGCCAATCTTCAGAGTCCCCTCTGCACAAGCCCAGCCATATCAAATGTTACAGTTACAATGTTGAGAGGCCCAGAAATCTTAGAAAGATAGGATGGCTTTAACACTTCTCCCTCCACTTCTGTATTGTAGTATTTGGCTCCCACTATTTACCAATTGTACACCAAGTTCTAAACTCTCTTAATCCCTCTCTTGCCTATCCTCTTTTGAAATCAGGCAGACATCTACAAGCAGAGCCTTAGGGGAAAGCGAGTGGGTGGGAGACAGGCCCCTAAACCCTCTGCCCTGATCGTTATTATAGGACAAAGACCATTCACAGTATACATTGCAGATTTCCAGGTAAGCAACATCTATTTGGCAACAACATGATCACTAGAAACCACTCATCTATATTGTAGTATCGCCTGACTTTCCCTAAATGGACAAGGATGAAAAGCTTAAGGGCTGAAGTAGAGGAAGAAGCACAGCCTTACCTGATGATGATCTGCTCTCTGGTCTGGAGAGGAAGGCACAGGCACGTTTCTGAGTGGTCGGTTATGGATGCTAGTTTTATTCCAAAAAGTTTGAGGAAGTCAGCTCCAGCAGTCGGCTGGAAAATCTGGACTGTCAGGCTGGGAGGAGGCAGGCAAGGGGAGGGGGGAAGAGGGGGCAGTGTGGAAGGAAACCAAAAGGGAGGAGAATAGATTTGCAGATCGACAGGGAGCAATAGTTGCTGGGTGTTCAGTTTCACATGACTTTATGGCCCACAGAAAACACTTCTTGGAAGCTTGACTATTCAACCTCAACACATGATCCTTGCAAGTTTTGTCTTTTCTGCTCATCTTCTTCTGGATGAGAGGGGGACAGACTGTGGGGTACTAGTTTGGCCTCCCTAGTCCCACCAAACGAATTTTCCACACACATACATACTCACCCATCTTTTGGGGTACTGTTTCCTTTAAAACACACACACTTACACACACACACACACATAGATATCAATGTTCCTTCTAGTCTATAATACAGACTAGCAATGTTTTACAACACCGAAATTATCAGATGACCTTCACTCCTATTTTAGAGGCCATTCTACCTCTCCCATCCTTAGATGTCTCAACTTTTTTTCTTGAAGTCTCAGAGGAAGAATTAATGCACCTGAATAAAGCTAACCCCCCACCCCACCTGTGCCCTTTATCACATCTTCTTCTGGACCTTGAGGGAACTTGGGGGGAAACCTACCATTCAAAACCAGATTCTGGACCTGCCTCTGCCCCTAACTAGCAGCTTGACCTTACATAAATTATTTCACTTCTCTGGGTGTGTTTCATTGTGTGTATGTAGAAAGAGGTGATTGGACAAAATAATTTATAAGCTCTTCTCTAACTTCTATAATTTTTTTCTCCATTAATTACTTGTATCCACTTGAAAAAAGGGCAGCTAGGTGGCGAAGCTGATAGAGTGCCAGATAGACTCATCTTCCCAGGTTCAAATCTGGCTTCAGATTCTTACTAGTTCTGTGACCCTGGACAAGTCCCTGTTTGCCTCAGTTCCTCATCAGTCAAATGAGCTGGCAAACCACTCCAATATCTTTTTCAAGGAAACCCCAAATGGAGCACAGAGTCAGACACAGCTGAAATGACTGAATGAATAAATTCAACTAAAAAAAATCCCCATTTTGACCCTTTTGAAGACTTCAAAGCACTGTTCTCTCCCCTTCCTTTTACTGCCAAACTTCCTGAAAGAGTAGTCTACACTTACTTCTCTATCCCTGGCAATCTGCCTTGTTTCCAACTTCACTAAACTGTGCTCTCTCAAGATTGTCAGTCTCTCAACTGGCCTCATGATAATCATCATCCCTCTTTACCTAAAGCATTTAAGATAGTTGACACATCAACAAAGAAACAAGCACTTCTTCCTCCTTCCTTGGCTGCTTAACTCTGCTCCCATCTGGTTCTCCTGTCTGACCAATGTCTGTGTATATAGATATATGTGTATATATCTATGTATGTGTGCATAATGTGTGGAAACACACATATACTTGCACAAATAAGTACATACCCATATGTATACACATATATGGATACACTTGTATATGTGCCCCATTAGAATGTGAACTCCATGAGCAGGGATTGTCCTTTGCCTTTCTTGTATCCCCAAGTTAGCACACAGTGGACACTTAAGTGGTTAATGACTGAATAACTTCATACATACACATATACACACACACACACATATGAATGTAAGCTCTTTGAGGACTTTAATTTTTGCCTTACACCTCTGTTAACAGGGCTAGCAGGTGCTTAAAAAGTACTTGCTGATGGATTGACATCTCTTTCTACTAGATTAAATTAATTTAAAGCTTCTTGAAGGCAGCTCATCTTTTCTCTCCCCCAGCACCTTGTATAGTTAAGATCCTCCCAAGAATTTGGGAGTCTGGAAGAATCATGTTCAAAACCAGTCTCCCCACCAAAAAAAGTCCCAGACCCTGTGTGTGACCTAAAGCAATTAACTGAACCTTTCTCAACCCATTTCCTCATCAGTAAAATAAAGAGATTACCTACCTCAATCAAAGGACTATTGTAAGAATCAACCACACGATATATATAAAAGTGCTTTGTAAACTTTAAAGCACCTGATAAATGTTATGAGTTCTAGCTTATCATTCAATGTATGGATTTAAATTTGTTTGGAATAGGGCTATCATCAATGTAGCAAACTCCTCCCAGGGATGCACATCAGGAACTCTCTGGGGCTTGGAGAAGCTAAGTAACTGCTCACGGCCACTCGGTTAGTATGTGACAGAACCAGAAGGTGAACCCTTGGAATCTTCCTGATTCCAAGGCAAGCCCTCAATCCATTTTGTCAAACTCTTAAAAATCCAAAATTCAGCAACTTTATGGTGTCAGGTCACCAAACTTTCTGACTCTTATAAGTTATTCACCAGGTTATGATGTCTCTACCTCTGACCCCAGAGACAAGATAGTATCTTTCCTATATATAAGAACTTCTTTTTCCACGGAAAATAAATGATCTGTTACCTAGGAGACTAGTCAGATGTAAAATAATTGAATCAGACATAGTATTTCCAATAATGACAACACATAAATCAATGCCATAAGCACTAATGAGACCATGGGGGAAGGGGAAGGTAGAAGGGATTTTCCCTTTTTTAAAGTCCTGGATCCAGGGATGAGTATTTTGTGATGATTATTATATGCCAGTCATATGAGCCCTTCCAGACCATTCCCCCACCCAACCCAGCATGTGACAGATCACAAGAGTCTGCCTCAGCCCCAACCCCACCCCTTCCATAAACAGATGACATGGGAGAAGGAAAAAGGATGATTCCAGCAAGATAAAACACATTTGGTTTCTTTTCCCCAAGACAGCTGGATTCTATTCCTAGATTCCCCTGCAGTTCAAACTCTATTCCAGTTGCTTCAGCCCATGCTAGACGGAGCAGACGGTCCCAGAAGGAAACCAAGAACAACCCTAAGCAGACTGTCTCCCAATACTTAACTTTCTTTTCATTAGAGAATAAGGTTATTTTGGGACAGAGGCAGGATCTGGAGCTCTCCTTCTCCTTGGAACTCTTTCCTATATATAAAGGCACCCTCCCCTCCCATCCCTCGAAGGAAGCAAGATCAAAAGGCAGATGAGTGATCACAGCCCTGAAGTTGTTTTTTTTTTTTTTTAAATACAGATTATATAAGCAGCTCACTTAGGGAATAATGTGTTTCTTATCTTTGGTGTCTTAGTATATGTATTTTTCGGTAAGGCATTCTGCATCACATAGCACATCTATGTCTTTCTGTTTCTGTATACCTTGGCAGGAAGCATTATGCAAGAAACCTGGGCAGGGATCGTTATGGTCACAATCAAGACTAAACGACAGAAGGGTTTTTAAAAAGGAAAAAAATATCTTTGCTTTAAAATCTCTGCTACATAATGACATCATTTGTGCCACCATGAGACTTGACATGGGTGCCAAGTAACAAAGGATGGCCAACAAGAAAAATAAACACAATTGAAAATAAAACCCTGAAGGAAGAGTAGGAACAAAACCCTCAGAGTCTTTTCTCCCTCCCTCCCAACACCCTACAATAACTGTACAATATTAGAGTCCTAATCACATTTAAAAATAATTGATTATCAAAAGACAGATTCAAATGGAAACTCAACTTTTTGGCTTCTTAAATTGTGATATAAATATATAATATAATATATATATATATATATATATATAATGCATGTATGCTGTGTGTGTGCACATAGATTTTTAAAAAATAAAATATCTCCTTTTCCCTGTCCTTTTGCTATCTGGTACCAGGGTGAAAGGAAGGGGACAGGACAGGCCAAGTCAATATGACATTCCCCTCCAGCCTCCTGTTTTCAAGACACCTATAACTACATTAAAAACATCTTGCCCTTAATAACTCAGCCTTGTAATTAAAAACTGACCTGAGCCAACAATAGAAAAAAAACCACTGATGTCACTTCACTGTTTATGACCAAAGGCTCAAAAGCCATAGTAATGGCCTATATCCTCAATCAGATGGTTATGTTAATTGCTAAGAAGCCCTGTTTGATAGGGTTCCTACCCATCTGCCATATAGTATTATTATATTTATACCCACTTGACACTTCCTACATCTAGCAAAAAATTTTAAGAGACCCAGCTTGACTCTAAAGGCTAGGAAGAAAACAAAGGGTAGTATTATAGACCCATTTTCCATCCGTGTGCTAGTAACAAGGAAAAACGTCATCTTCTTTTTTCTGTTTAGGTCTGGCTGCAGCATTGGGATTGAAAAAAAACTTATTTTTGAGATGAAGTTGGTATCAAGGTGCACAGCCCAGTGTAGATCAAGGCCTCTTACTGGGGCTGTCAAACCAAGAAGCTGAGTTTCCATGGGGTTATTTTCTCCGCAGTGCTTGTACAGTGTATAATTCTGACAGAAAATGCATTGTAGTCCTTATGGCCATGTGTCTAGGGTTTCTTAAAAAAAGTTTAGCACCTGAGCCCACTTTTCATAATGTCTTGAAGTTCTCTCCAAATGAGGAGCACCGCCAACAGTGAGAATGACCCAGTTCTGTCATTGACAATGTTCAATAAGAAGGTGCCCACACAAAACACTCCTACACAACTGATCATACTGGCTGGGCATAGATGTGAACACAGCAAAGAAGTTAATCTAAATACACTTTGGCTGCAATATGGAGCAGAAAATACCTGGAATTAACACTTTAGGACTTGTTCTGAAACACACACACACAGAGACACACAGACACATGCACAGTCAGGGACCAGAGTTTGCATAATCCCCCTGCCACAGAAGAAAGAGACACAGACATAGACACACACACACACACACTCACTCTCTCTCTCTCTCACAAGTTTCTTTCTAAAGGAATTACACACACACAGTACAAACTATCTGTATCCATTCCTAAAGCCATGTGCCTGCTCTTTCTTGGGCCTCATACACAGAGATACTCCTTTTCCCCATTCTTTCTCCCTGATCCAATTCAGAGTTTGTCCAAAAAAGTCTCTGCATCCAAGGTGATTATCAAACCCTCTGCAACTGGACCCAGAGGTCTCTGTGTAGTATCTTCCAGCCTGGAACACTCCAAGCTTCATCTCTGCACAAAACTCTGGTCGGGAGAAAAAGGGAAAAGATCCCCCAGTCCATCTGGTCTCAGTTTTCAAAGTTCTCAAGAGCCTTGATGATCCATTCCATTAATTCTGACGACTCTACCGGGGGCAGGGAGAGGGAAGTGAGTGGAGATAGGGAACAACGGGGGGGCATGAGGTGGATTTTGGGGGTGAGGGAGGGGAAGGGAGAGTATCTTTATTCTGTTTACAGAAAGATTTGTTTTTTTTAAAAACAAAAAGTGATTTCTCTCCCCCACCCCCTAATCCTCACCCCAACAGTTCTATTCTGAAAAAGAAGGAAAAATGGCTAAGTCAGGAAATTCTTCATTGTTATAGGTGTTACCCTGGTCTCCCAGCATAGACAGCATCTCCTAATGAGAAAAAAGAATAAAATTGGTATTAAAAACCAGTCCCTTACATCCATCAGGTAATTTCTCACTGTACTCACACTAGCATCAATAGGCCCCACATAAATGAATTTTGTCCTCATGAGTTAGTTCGGCCACCAATTCCCCAACCCCAAATCCTCCTGCTGTAATTTTATTTTCTTTCTTAATAGAAGAGGAAGAAAAAATTATTTCCCTCCCCTACAGCACTATTCTGTTCTTAGATAAGAATTTGAAGTACCATCCCTTTCTATCAAACATCCCTTTCTTCTGGCAATCTTTGCTTAACAAAGCCTTCTCCTTCCCTATGTCCCCTGGTTCCACTCTCCATTCACTCTGCCCTCTCTTCTCGCACTTCTGTGCAGGCCTCTGTATAGTCATGATTAGTGCTACACTTCTCTAAGCCTGCTTTTATTTGCTTGTTAGGTGGTATACGTCCTCAACAGCCCAAAGGCAGAGACTGGCTTCCTCTTACCAGGAGCCACATCCTCTCCCCTTTCTCCTCCCATGCTGCTTAGTAAACAGGTGGCTGGCTGAGTCAAGGGTGACCCAGAATCCAGTGGTCATCTTTCTGAATCACAATGCTCCTATGTTCGTCCCCCTTCCCCCACCTCGACTGAGCCCAATTCTCTGCAGTTTCCTCCCTGTCTCCTAGAGCCCCTCACCTGGAAGACTTCAGGCTGGCTGGGCTGCTGTGGTGGTGGCTGCACGTGCTGTTCCCCAGAGCCAGATCGGTGGTGGGTCTGCTGCCCCTGTGGCCACTGCGGCCACACGTTCACTCCCTCTGCCGTGCGGGCCTGAAACTGTCCCGTGGGCTGTCCGGCCTCTGCGGCTGGGGAAATGCCATCCTTTAGTGACCAGGCCAGTCCCAGCGCTCCCCCCACAAAGTCGAAGGAACTCAGCCAATGTTTTTTGAAAGCTGTGATTGTCTTGCCTGACAAATATTTGCCCTCACATAGTAGAACATACTGGAATTTCTTCATGTACTCTGTATTAATAATAGTAACTGGTACTTATAGAACACTTTAAGGTTTACCAAGTGCTTTACTTATATATGACCTTGTTTGATCCCCTTCACAATCCTAAGATGGGGACTACACACACGATCAGCCCTGTTTTACAGACAAGGAAACTCAAGTAAATGGCTTAACTTCACTGAGCCTCAGTCGCACAACTTGTGAGGGGAAAGGAATAAGAATTTACATAGCACCTACTATGTGCCAGGCACTGTGCTAAGTGCTTTACAAACATGATCTCATTTGATCCTCACAACCACCCGGGAGGTAGGTGCTATTATTACACCCATTTTGCAGATGAGGAAACAGAGGCAAACAGAGATTCAATGACTTGCCCAGGGTTACACAGCTAGCGTCTGCAGCTGCATTTGAATTCAGGTCTTCCGCCTCCAGGCCTGGCACTCTGGGCCCTCTGGTGCCCCTAGCAGCCTGACTAGTAGGTCTCTACACACTCCACCCCCCAGACTCCTTCAATGACACCAGCTGCCTCTCCAAAGGCCGGTTGGACCCCCCCTCCCTGCCCAATGCTGAGGCCAGCATGCCCTCACTAACACTTGCCCTTCCCCTTATGCCCTCCCCTCTCCACAAGGGACTCACCAAAGCTAGAGCCCCGGCTGGCGAGGCTGGGGTAGGCAGCAGTGCCTGGCGACGCAGTAGGGGCCCCAGTGAGAGACATGGGGCTGAAGGAAGACGGTGTTTGGAAGCTACCGACAGCAAACTGAGGGGACCGAGTCTTGGATGCGGGAGGGGGGGCCACCTGCTACATAGACAGGACATGAGCAAAGCAGAGTAGAAGCATCACTAATCTTCTCCCTGGGAAAAACTCCTCCTTCCCTCAAAAGCTAGTTCAGTGAAAATATAACTGAACAAAGATGAACACTTCCCTTCCCCAAAAAGCCAGTTCACACTTTTATCTCCTACGAGGAAGTGCTAAGTAACTCTCTACCTCTACACTCTCAAATATGCATTTGTATGGCTGGTAGAGGGCTTTCTGCAAACAGCTAGCTTCTTTAGCTGTGGTCTGTGTTCTACTATCTCTACTAAGAATTCCTTCAGGGCAAGAATTGAATCTTCTACTACCTGTCTACCCTCAAAGTATCTAGCTCAGTATTCCACATAAAATTAATGAATTAACAAGCATTAAGTGCATAAACCTGGAGGCTGTACTAAGTGCTGGGGATACAGTCACAAAAGGGATCTGGCCCTTGCCCTAAAGGAGGGTACATTACACATTGTACATGTCAGGTGTCTGTATAGATGCAGAGTGCAGGTGTGCTCTCCAGCAGGCTGCCTTGCTGAAGCCCTCCACATATATTATCTCACTGGAGCCTTATACCAGCGTGCTATTATTATCCCTGTCGGAGAAGGAAGAGGAAGAGGAAGAGAGAGACTCAGAGAGATAGAGGCCCTCGCCCACAGTCACATTGCTTTTAAGTGTCAGAGATAGAATTCTGACTCCGAGTTCATTACTTACATTACTAACTCCTTTGCATCTCCCTCAGAAAATACATATGTGGAATTAAAAGACAAACCTATTCAAGATATTCTTTGTACAACTCTGATTAAAAGTTGGGAGCTGAAAGACATAATGAAGAATGGGGCTAAAAGATATGTGAACTAGCTATGGATTTTCACTGTGAAATCTCTACCTAGCCTTAAAAGCTGAAGGGGGAAAGTATTATTCAAGGGAGATCCAGGGAAGTTTTCCTATTTTACCAATGAAAAAAAAAATTCATCAAGTGGGGTAAAGGCGTGACAAGGGCTTTACCTGGGCAACGAAGCCAGGACGGGTGCTTGGGTTCCAGGCAGGAGCTGTGCCCTGTGTGGTGTTGGAGTGGCGGGAGATCTGGGCCAACATCTGTCCTGCAGAAGCTGGTGGCTGGACGATGGTCCCAGGAGGAACCAAGCTGTTGTTTCTAGAAGAAAATAAGGGAGTAGAAAGGTGGAATAGTAAGGAAACCTGGGAAATAAAGCATGCATCATCATCATCTTTGGGCCTCTCCTCTTGGTTTCTCTTTGTGCTACAGGAAATCTGATAGAATTTAGAAAAAAGAGAGGCAGAGCGCACAGGATCCACAAAGGATACCCACGAGCACAGGGCTGTAAAGCCAGTGCAAGGGATGGGGCCTTGCATTGGGGCAGTATAAGCACCCTTGTTTGCTTGAGTCTAGTAGTAAAGCTGGAGAAAGAAATCCTGTTTTTGTAAGTAGAATCTTCATCAACACCTTCCTCCCCCCCCCCCCCCCCACCTCAGAGGACTAGTGGCCCATACCAAAAGGACTCACCTGAAGTTCTCTGCTGTTCTGGGGACTGTAGGGAACGTATTGCCCTGGGAGAAGAGCTGCTGGCTAGCTGGGACAGTGCTGCTCGTGATGCCTTTACTCTGATCTAAGAAAAGTAGGGGTGACAGGGTGAGGTGACTACTCAGGCTTCTGTACTGCCAAGTTCAACACATCATCCAAAGTCACAAGGGGGTGATGGTAAAGAAGACTGCAACTGCCTAGACCTGGATCCAACAAGAATCCAAGCTGGAATCTTGCTGGGGAGGAAGTGGAGGAGGGAGAGAAAATGTTAAGTATTTATTCTATGTAAGTCACTGTGCTAATCAATGGGAATTCAAATGCAACAGCTCCTGCCCTCAAGGAGCTTAGAGAGATCAGTAAATACAAGGTAATTTAAAAAGTGACAGAGCTCTAACAACTGAGAGAAGGACCAAACCTATGATTTCACTAGCAGAAGACTCTGCAAGTCTGAGTCTCAGAGGGCTGCCTAATGTACTAGGATGTTCAGTGACATGCCCAGGGTCACCAAGCTGGTGGAACTCAGAGATGCTTCACCAAAGCTGAACCCAGTTTTCCTCTCTCCACTATGCCATGCTGGCTTCCAAATGGGGGGATTAGAAAAGAGAAGAGGGGCATATACCTGAACTAATGTTGGGGTAGATCTCAGCAAACCTTGGATCTCTATCCTGACCAAAAAGGCTGTCGGACTTCTCCAGGGACTTGCTGTGCTCTGGGCCTGTGGCAGACCCAGGCTGGACTGAGACCTAGGGAAAGTAAGAAGAGAGGGATGTGAATTCTACCTGAGACTGCCTTATTTCAGGGTCCTTTAGATTAAAGGTCCTTTAATCTAACTAGTATGATATTCTTTAAGATGGGAACCTAAATACCCTTAATGTTCAGAATTAATAATGAGCATGATATGAGGGAAGGCCCCAGGCACTGCCAGGAATACAGACAAGATAATCAATTCCAAAATGTCTTCATTTTCCTAGTTTGTCTGATGAACTGTCCTCATTCATCATCATCTTAGTCACTTATCTAAAGAGTTATAACAGTCATAAAGTCTCAATTCTTCAGAACTGAGTTTCAAGGCCCCTCTGACACATCTGCCCACTGGAACCCTCCGGTTCCCCAGGCTGGCTCCCTGTGGCTGGCCCAGGACTTGTTCTATTTCCTGTCCACTGATGCCATGAACTCTCCTTCTTCCAAATGTTCTCATTTCTCTATGCCAAATTATGTCCTTCTACCCTAACACTTTTCAAGTTCCACTTCAAATCTATGAAATTTTTCTTAACTCTACCTATCTAATCATTCCAATGCTTCCTAGGATGTTTCTACTGTATACATTTCTCATATCTGTATTAATACTTTTTGCTATATTTTCCTTATATGTAGTACAGTTGTCCATTCTCTTCCCTATGAGGCTATAAATACTTCCAATAAACTACGTTTTTATCTTTTCTAGGTATCCTCCTAAAGTGCCTACTGTAGGACATCCTCAATGTAGACTGCTGAATAACCAGGCCCCAGATTAAAAAATCTGTAGAGGTCTGATCCCTCATCATGGCCAGCCTGTCCTACACTGCCACCCAAACCTGAAACCAGCACATGGATTTCAAATTCAGGCCCTCACTACACTTATCTTGTAATAACCTCTTGTAATAACTTTCACTGCTCTAATCCATGCTATGTACTCCTGCCAGATTAATCTTCATAATGCACGGCTCAAATTTACATTACTCTTTTGTTAAAATTCTTCAATGGCTCTGTTAAACATCAAATAAAATCCAGATTCCTTGGACAACCCATTCAAAGCCCTCTACAATCTAGCTCCAGGACCTTCCCAGTGAAACTGGAGGACTTACTGCCCCTATCCACTGCTGCCATTTTTCCCCTTTCTGCTTTTGTATATACATACAAAATTAATAATTCCCTTTGCTTAGGTACTGCCCTCCCTTCCTAACTTCATCTGTTAAAAAATTTTATCTCATCTTCTTCTAGGCCCAGCTCAAATGCTACCTTCTCCTCCCTTATCCCCTCAGTTAAATATGACTTTATCTCCCTCCTTTGAACCCTCATAGACATTCGGTATTTCTATTACACATTTACCACACTTTACTAGGTAATGCAGTAATGTGTATAAATGTCACATGTCCCCTACTAGTCTCCCCTACAAATCTCTCAAGAAACTAGTTCATCTTTATATCTCCATCAGTCTCTAGTACAATGTCCTGTAAAAATATTGCTAGTACTACTGTTAAATTTAATATATACTTCTAAAAAAAGGAAGTCTATATGTAAAAAAGATTTCATATACACAATTTCATATACAAACCTCTTCTGTTCTTTGTACACTGAAATGTTCATGTTTGTTAATATTTGTCAGATTCATAACAAAAAAGATTTGGAAAAACAATGTCTTGTATATGGTGCTCAAAAAATACTTGTTGAATAAGTGAATACATTATTAAGAGAGGTCTGGCTCAAACAAAACAATATCCATTGAAGGGGGCTCAGTCTTATAAACTGTGTAAAGAGAGGAAACTGTGACTAATCCAATTAAATTCAACAAGCAAATAAAGCCCCTACTATGTTCAAGAGACTATGCTACGATACAAAGAAAAACAGCTGCTACCCTCAAGTTGCTTATCTAGCCTACGGTGGGATACATGATTCAAAAGGACAATTAATATAATCTAATTTAAAGTGGGAGAAAGCACTAGCCAATTGGAAGTGTCAGAAAAGGCTTCCCATAGCAAATGGTAACTGAGTTGAGTCATGAAGGAAGCTAAGGTTTCTAAGAGGGGGAAGAGAGGAGGGAACTCATTTCAGGCTCAAGAGACCTTTAAGGAAGGCTATGGCAGAGACAAGGAAAGCAACCACAACTAGATCATCTGTAATTAACAGGGATATTTGTGGAAGGTTAGAGTATAATGAAACCATATATATACTACGAAAACAGCAATCTTACGAAACAAAACCCACCTCTAAATCTATGCCCCAAGTTCTTCTAAAGATGATCTCTGCAACTCCAACCAGAATTCCTGGCCCTTACTAACTATGCAACAAAAACTTCTGTCCCTAGACAGAACTACAAAAGAAACAGTATCTGATGACCCCATGACTGCCTGCTACTCCCTCTGCACCTTCTTGGTGGAAGGGACCAACCGGCCATTGACCAACTTACCTGCGAATGATTATAGCTGGCCAAGCCATCTCTTCCCGACACCACATCAAGCTCTGTTTGCTGCTGCTGCCTACAGAGCAAAAGAGGACGAATGAAAAACAAATGGTCTAAAGATCCTACCAACCCAGGCCTAGAACTGCACCAACCTCCCCCATTTGACAGATGAAAAAACTAAGACCCTGAGATGGTCACAAGTCTATTCACCCAATTATTCTCACCACTCACCTGGGTGCCAGCTGCCCAGAGCCCATTTCCAGGGGCAGATTAGCTGTGGGGCCTAGTTGTGGCCTCTGGATTGAGTTGGACAGTGTGGGCCGTTGCTCTTGGTTGGAGTTCCTGGAAAATATTTTGTGGTAGAGAAGGGGTAGGTAAGGGGATAGAAAAGGAGAGAGAGAAATCTGACTATGTTTGCTCATAAATCTCTGTATATTAATTAATTAGTGAAAATACCTATCAGATGTCTGTTCCTACTGATGGACTTTACCCACAGATGGGGCAACACTGAAATCACATGGACAAATAAGAACACAATACAAAGCTTTACACCCAATAAATACTTGCCTAACCCTTTTACCCTTCAGTGCTTTGTTAGAAAATTTTCTGTTGACTTTGTGTGTCTCACTTCTCTCTCCTATGTAAGCTCTTTGAAGCAAGGAACCATTGTCTTTTCTGCAGCATGTAAACTAAATACCTAAGATAATGCTATCAGCCCCTGCACTCAATTTCCTACCTTTCCCATTCTTGCTGTTCCCTGAGCCCTATAATGTAGAGGACACGAGCCACTGGATTTCCTTTTTGTATCCATATTCTTCTTTGTCCAAAGCCCAACGGTAGATTGGAAGTGATGTTAAGAAAGTCTCCTGTAAGATAGTTCTCAGAAACCTTTGAGCCTGGACTAATGGACTTTTTGTTCCTGTTCAATAACAGATTAAGAATGAGACACTACCGCTCATATCCTGTTCAACTTCAACGATGCGCAGAGGACAAACCTGTATGATCTTGAGGGCACTGACAAAGAACCTGATTGTGCTCCCTGCCTCCAGTATAAACAAAAATGTTTCTTTATCCCAGTCTAGAAGTAGAACTTGCTGCATGAAATCTACTCTATGCCTGGTCAGTGGAACACTGTCCTCAAGAGATTCTTCTCACATTAAATTGACAACTAAGGAACAACAAAACACTCCAGAATTTCACAAAGGCTAAAAATCTCGTTTATTCTATAGGGTTAATTCTTTTTGACATTCTCCTCCACTCTTTTCCCATGGATGATTTATTTTGTCAATTGACACATACACCAAAATATGGTAGGTCTATAATACCCTTCAATGTGGCCACCAAAACAGATTTGTCCAGTCTGAAGTGATCGTGTCTCAAAATAACGATACTGAATCTCTTACAGATCACTGTCAAATCTATGGTTGGTACCCAATGTTGATTATAAAGGTAGTCAATTACTTTGAAGGGGTGGAGGAAGAACATGGATAGAAAACAGCTGTGGTCTGAAAAGCCACTTGGGCCAGAACGGTGACTCTACAGATATACTACACATAAACATGAGAGGAGGGTGGGGGTGGGGGAGACAATAGTGAGCCAGGTAAAGTCATCTGCTAAGAAGAAACAGCTAGGGGCGGCTAAGTAGCGCAGTGGATAGAGCTCCCACTACAGAGTTAGGAGGACCTGAGTTCAAATCCGACCTCAGACACTTGAAACTTACTAGCTCTGTGACCCTGGGCAAGTCACTTAACTCCAATTGCCTCATCAAAAACAAACAAACAAACAAAAAAAAACCATCTAAACCTTGAGACAAATGCTATAAATGTCACTGTGTAAGTGTCTACTAGGGAAGAGTAAAAGGGATTCATTTACTACTCCATAGCAACTGGTCTGATACCCAGGATGGTGATCACCCATCTCTTCACTGTTCAAAATTTCTACAGAACAGTTTCTCTCCCACCTAGACCCACCACTAACAACAGCCTCTGGCTATAGATAATGGGAGTATGAAGACTGGAAGCAAACCCACAGGAGTCACACTGCCAAAACCGGAGTATGTTACAGTAGGAGTAGAAGGCAGTACTGGACTGAAGAGTCTGAAGAGACCTCAGTTTGAATTCCATCACTGAGATTTAATAGTTGTGTGACCATCAACAAGTCACTTAACCCCTCTGAGTTTAGTTTCCTCATCTACATATTAAAGAAAACCTACAGTATCTAATTCACCAGCTTGCTATAAGGATCAAATGAAATAACATATGCTTTATAAATTTCAGCTGTTAACTGTTTAGTGAACAGAACTCAATTCACACACATCAAGCACTGAGACTTTCTCTGCTCTTGTTGTCCCCATTAGTGTCAAGCCAAATCAACATGCATTTGCAATCCAAGTGCCTGACTCCTTGCCCCTGCCCAGGGTGTATAGCAAGCCTCTCCCTTTGCAATGAGAAATGAATCCCTAAAAATTATATTCCAGCACTTACCCTCATCCCCTACCAAAAGTGTCATCTCTGTAACTGGCATGATGTTGAGGCATCAGCAGAAGGAGAAACTATATCCACATCTCTTAGTTACATAGTCTAACTCCCTGGCCAAAAATAAAGGCACCAGAAAGAAATGGCAAAACATGCTAAAATGTTTCTCTTTGGAAAAAAAAAGATTATAAATTTAAGGAGGAAAGAAAGGTGAGAAAAGCCATAGTCCCAGGCACCTGGCTCTTCCTGGAACCAGTCACCAATACCTGTGTAATGTTACCCATAGAAACCCAGAGCAAAACTGTAGTAAGCTTGACTCCAGTGATTCCAAGTCAGGAAAGTCAAGTGAAGGAAGAAGGGAAGCACCTCAGGGTTCACCTGTCCTTTGTTACATCAAGTGGATTAGAAATTATTTAACTTTCCCTCATAAATCCTTGGATTAGCTGACCCTGATCTCAGATTAGTATTTCAAGGCTGGTTTATTACTCAATCTAGCCTTAAAGGTGAGGGTTAGTGACCTGATCTAGGCCAAAGAGGTAGATTAGATGGAAAAAGAAAAGCAGGCAAGTTAGAAGAAAAAAGAACCTAAGGGAAAGAAGACAAGATGGAAGGAAAGAATCAAAGACTGGTGAGACAGGACTGGTCTGGTCGTGGGAAAGTGTATGTGAAAATAGGGTCTGGGGTAGGTGATGGGGGAAGGAGAGTCAGTCAAAGTGATTAAAAAGAAAAAAAATCATTTCTAGAAATAACTGAAAAATAAAATTGAGATAAATATCCTCCTCTTCGGTGCCTGTAATTGGAATTATGACTATAGGTAACAGCAGAAAGAGAAACTGTGTTCATTTTTCCTATTTCCATATTTTGACTCCCTGGCCAAAACAAAGTTATCAGAGAAAGACAGTGAAACATGTCATGTTCTGTTAAAGCTCCCTCTAATTGAAATAAATCCAGACTTTCTGTCTCACCCAATGGCCCCAAATCCTGCAGAGAACAGAAAGGTGAAGATTCAGAGTTGAGTGTTCTTTAATATTGCTTAGGGGAGGAGGGAGGGAAGAGAAAAGGAGGGGGAGGGCTTAGCCCTGGTTAATCTGGAGGGGCCAGGTGCACCAGAAATGCCCTCGGTGGTACCTACTTCACGCTGGTGTTGGTACAGATGATGTACTCAATCTCATCTGAGTAGGGGTTCTGGAAGGTAAAGGAGCTGGTTCTCATCCAGAGCCACTCATGGTTCTTGGACCGGAACCGGAACATGACAGACAGAACCTGGCCTTTTAATTTCACCACCTGGAAGAGTTTTTATCGTGTCAGTGGGACCCCAATCAAAGAAAACGGGCTGAACAAACACACTGACCCATAGCCCCAACCCCAGTCCCACTTCTGTCCTAGATATACCAAGCCCTGTCTGCATTAATCTGCACTGCAAAGATTATAATCCAGCTCAATAAGCATTTATCAAGTGCCTACTATGTGCAAGGCACCATCTCAATGTTGGGGATACACATAAAAAAAAAATCCCTGCCCTCCAGGAATTTACAGTGCATGAGAGTGATAGAACATATAAACAAACAGGTACATACCTACTATGAGAAGGGAGAGGGCAGCAACAAGTGGGAGATCAGGAAACGCTTCCTGTAGGAGATGGCATCTGGGCCAAGTGTTGGAATAAGCTAAATATTCGCTTTAGAATCCTGCCACCTTCTACAGAAAGCCTCCAGGTGGGGATGGAGGAGATACCAGGAATAGGGGCCAGCATATGCGCAAGCAGAGAAGCAGAGATGGAATGCTGTTTTAGGAAATAGCAAGGAAGGCAGTTTGACTAGAACATAAGAGTGTAAAAGAAGGCTAGAAAGGCAGGCTGGAGCCAGACGACAAAGAGCTTCCATTTGGTCCTGGAGGCCACTGACGGCTCATGAGCTGGGGTGTGACCTGTGCTTCAAGAAGATGATGTTGGCAGCTGTGTGGAGGACAGCTAGAGAAGGGAGAACTGGGGAGCCACGCATCCAACCATGAGGCTGCTGCAATAGTCCAGGCAAAGTGGTGATGGGGAAGACGATGGCCGATGAGTGCAGGGAAGGGAACAAAGCTTTGCTGCGTCGGTGTTCTTCAGTCTGTGAGGTGTGTGCATGCATGCTATGTTCCCTTTAGACCAGACATTTACGAAAGGGCAGTGCTCTGCACACAGGGAGCCTTCAGTTCTGGGCAATTAATGCGTCTAGCCTAAAGCCTTAAACACCAACACTGAAGATTTAGTGTACCTGGAGATCACGAGGGGCTAAGCTAAATGAACTCTTGAGGGCCTATGCATACAGATTATACAACTAATAATGATGTGTAAGTATTTTCTGGCTTTCAGCTCTTTGTTTCCCGTCATGATCACACACATGAGGACAAAACAAAGTCATTTTCTTTAAGGGAGGATAGCCAGACTAAAGCCTCCACAACTTTACAATGTTCTGCCTGTTCAAGACAGAACCACTAAGTAGCTGAAAAATATGGAACTAAACATAGTTTATTTTATCTCTACAAGGACCCAAACTCTTAGATTATTATGGCTAGAGCCAAAGAAGGAAGCAAATACTTTCTGAGATAAGCAGGGAAAGGGTCTTGGAAAGCCCACTTAGCCTTGGAAAGCATATCAGCTCTCCAAAAGAAACAACAGAAGAAACCTAGCCCTTGGAGACAGTGTGGTCTCCCAAACCTGAAAGCCTCAGCAACCTGGACATGGTTTACATTAAGCTAGTTGATTCTATCCTTCTGATACCAACGTGCTTCTGTTTTTAGAGCAGAGAGACAAAAACTGCAAAAGTCCAGTTAGGTTTTGCAAGGAAAATTGCTCTAAAGCAATGGTAATTTGGGACTTACTTTCTACTTTAAAAAAACAATTGGAAGTGTTTTCTTTTCTAGCCAAAGAATCAAAAAATGACCTCTCCTATGTCTCATCCATTCCATATCACAGAAACTCAGAGCTGGAGCTTCAGAGGCTGCCTGGTCTGACCCACATGCACCACTAACCTCTTCTGCAGTGAACCTGATACACAGGCATCCAGCGTTTGCTTCAAAGTTTCTAGTAAGGAGGACTCACTATTTCCAAAGAGCACTAACTGTTAGCAAGTTGCTCTTTATATCCAGGCCAAATTTGCCTTTTGGTCACCTCTACTTATTACTCCTAATTCTGCCCCTCTAGAACTAAGCAGAAAAAATCTAAACTCTCTTCCACGAGAGAACCTTTCAAATACTTATGGATAGCTATTATTCTCCCCTCCACTCATTCCCCTCTTCATTAGAGATCTTTAGGACTTTGGTCAACTAACAATTAGGAGTAACCGAATATCAATGAAGGGGGGTTACATGGTTCAGTGGATAGAGACCCAAACCTGGAATCATCTTCCTGAGTTCAAATCCTACCTTTGACACTTAATAGCTGTGTAACCCTAAGCAAATGACTTAAACTTGTTTATCTTAGTTTCCTTATCTGTAAAACAAACTGGAGAAGGAAATGGCAAACCATTCCAGTATCTCTGCCAAGAAAACCACAAATGGGGTCACGAAGGACTGAACAACAGGATATCAATGAATGAATTATCAGAAATGGATTATCCTACCCAAAACAAGTTAGGTCTTCTTTGAGATTAGATCCAGGTAGATAAATATGTATGCCTCTCCCTCCATTCCAAAGCCAAGCAGAGATGAAATGGGGATAATCTGTTATTTTAAATTATTTTATCCTAATCTTCTCTATAAATAGAAATCTGAGTTGAGTATACTGAACAAGTGAAAGTATAAGTGCCTTGCACAAAGTAGGTGGCCCAATAAATAACTGTTGAATGAATGAATGGATGAATGAATGAATGCCATATCAATAAAGTCTATTTCAATCTGAATCGAAAGCCAGAATGAAAGGAATTACCTGTTGGAAACTGTCTCTTAGGAGCTGCTGGTCTTCATGATGGCAAAATTCCACAATATCTTTTCCCAATAGCTCCTAATTGAAGAAAGGAGAGTAAGGCTCTCTTTACCTAATGCCTCAGAGTCATTTTGCTACCCTTTCCCCTTCCACTTGATCTGGGATTCAGGAACCTGATTTTTTATTTCCAATTCCATCTTTAACTCCGTGCTGCTCTTGGGCAAAGTCCCTTACCTCTCAGGATCCCATTCCATACAAACAGGAAAAGTCATTTTATCCTTTTCCCCTCGGGTTAATCAGTGTAAATGTGTAAGAGACTTGGCCAACCCCTCAACAAGTGTTTTCGGATGGATTATCCAATGTGAGTATTACCAGACCTTTTACTGCCTTCTCCTCATCTTCTACCCAGGTAACTGTCCTGTTAATCAGCACTTTTGCTGGAATAGGGAGAAAAGAGAAAGCCTAAAACCATTAGATTTAGGGATGGATCCCCAAGTTTCTAATGATACTAGAAGAAGGGTTCTTGACATTTCTGTCATGGACCCATGAGCAATCTGAGGAAGTCCAAGGAATTCTCAGAATGATTCTTAAATGCATAAAATGAAATACAAAAAAAATCATGAAGGACCCTAAGTTAAGAACTCCTAGTACATTAGACCTTTTTCTGAGCTACTAAGGATGTCTCTACTTAGCAAGAAGTAGAATGTTTTCCACAGGCCCTACTGTTATGAATTTTATATTCAGGCTGTTTTCACTTGGATAAGGGCCTTGAGACTGCAGGTTCCCCACCCCTTAATGGATTTAATTTAATTGACCTGATGAATGCAAGATTCTAATAAATACTGCAAACTGGCATCTAATTTCCCTATTTTGTAGTCCAGGAGTGATCCTATTAATCTGAATTAATCTATATGAGTACATGATCATAGCTATAAAATGGGAACACAGATGTGAAAGTGTTTTGAAAAATGAAAACCAGTATGTAAATACAAAGTAGCAACTATTAATGTCAGTCACAATAATAGTAAATAGATGTGTGTGTGTGTGTGTGTGTGTGTGTGTGTGTGTGTGTGTGTGTGTGTGTGTGTGTATCAGGTTGCCTTTACTTGTTTCAGATGTCACATATGACTAACCTTAATACAAAGTTGGGAGAAAAAAGAAAGCCAAAATGTCAGTTACGTCTTGTATTGAGCACCTCACCTGTGGCTGATAGCCCACAGTAGCTATGCAGCGATGGTCCACAAAAGTAAAGATACCCTCAGTGTTGTGACGGGAGATGAATTCTGTTGGTTGGCAGACATTGCTCATGTCTGTGCAGTTGGGAGAACTGGTCACCTAAGAACCAAGAAAAAGTTAAGGAAAAAAGAATCTCACCGCCTAAGTGCTTCAAGGGAACCAAAACACATGTGTCCCTATCTCCCAAATAATCATTTCTAAAATGACTTTTCACAAGGCCTCATATGTCCAGGCACAGTAACTACTGACTATAAATAATTCATATTATCTGTGCCTCTATATAAAGAGGGAAGAATGACACAAATATAGTCAGGAAAAATGTAAAGTCTAACAGGAAAGTCCTTTTAGAAAACAGTAAGGAAAGGGGAAACCAGCCATTTATAATCCAAAAGCCCCCCCTACTCCCTTCTGATAGAGTTAGGTTCTTCAATCCAGTTAGAAAACTGAGGCCTACAGTAACCAAGGAAATTGTCCAGCAGTGTAGGTACAGGAAAATCAGAAGCCCTAACTTCTAATTCTTTCCTCTAGTTAATCTTGTAGATATAAAAAAGAGATGATGTACAGTTCTTCCCTAACACAGGAGCCAGGAAACCAGAATAGAGAAGGCAAACAGAGGGTCAAAATTACAAGGGAGCACATAAGGAGAGAAATGACACCCACCCCTCATGCTTTCCAGCTTCTGTTAAAGCCAAGAAGGTATCACAAACCCCCAAGCAATTAAATTAAATGTCCAAAGTTTAACATTTTTGTTTCTGTGGAGTCAGGTAATAAGACAGAACAGGAAAGGACAAAAGATGTATGTATAAGCCCAAAGCAGGAGGGGGAGGTGGAGTAAAATACTTTACACTTGCCTGCAATCGGCCAATGGCCACAAGGCAGAACTTGCTTCCCTGGCTAGCCTCTGGGTCATCATCTGGGAGTGAGACACCTACAGAATAAGATAAAATCAAAGAATAAATAGCGATATTAACAATAGAGTCAAGAGATGTCCTGCCCCAGCAGTGACCTTGAAAATAAATAACACACCAAAAACCAAACAGTGTTCAACCAAATAGTTATTTTTACACCTTGGGAGGGTGAAGGTGGGTAGAGCCATACTCCTGTGTGGAAGAGGAAAATAGGGTAATCTCATTCCTTCCTCAGTGCTTTGATATTTGCTTTTTTTTACCCAGAATAATAGCAATACCATTTCCCTAACCTGAAGACCAAACCAAAGGAAGAAGGAAAGACCTAAACACTTTGGACTGTAATTTGCACATTTATTACAAATTAAAATCCATTTTTAAGTTCAAATTTAAGCACCGCTGCCTGGAAACTAATTTTTTTTGTTTGTTTCATTTTACTTTCTCCTTTCAATAGACAAAAGGAAGCATCCAGACTCAGTAGGGGAAGGGCTGGAAGAATGGAAGGGGGATAGAAGAAGACAGTCTCAGGAATCCAGAATCTTTTGCCAGACCAGTTGGAAGAGGGGTTTTCTCCCTGACTCACAGATCTAGCCAAGTTATTCTGCTCCCCCTCCCCTTTGACTTGTTCAATCCTGATGTCAAACTTGACATAAGGCACTCTGCCTACACATCCTTCCCACCAATCCAGGGCCCTCCTCTACTTCAAAGTTTGGAGACCCCCTACTTCGGAAAACTTTTTCTATAGGCTACCCTGAGCTCTCATTACTCCTTTATGTGTTCGGTGGACATTCTTGTCAATTTATACTTAAAGATATACTGTATTTGCTCATATTTATTAATGCTCATTCATGTTTAAGTAGATATACCCCATATATACTCTGTATGGCCCAGTAACTGAGACAATATTGAGTCTTCTTTGGTCCTTCTATGGTCCTCTACAGAGTACAATACAGTATGCTGCATACACTGAGTGAATAATAAACGTTCATTCACTTTTTACCCTTTATGAGAAGTCATGCACAAGAACTCTCTTACCTGCTGGGGGCCAGGCCTTGATGTAGCCTGTGCAGTGGACAACCACAAAGTGAGGCTCCCCTTCCTTCACAGAGCCAAGCCCATTCCTAGAGAAAATCATATATATAAGGAGAAAACACAGCTTTAAAGATAGGCATACTAATGCATTGTTGGTGGAGCTGTGAATCAGTACAACAGTTGTGGAAAGCAATTTAGAATTATGCAAGTAAAGTTACTAAAATGCCCATACCCTTTGGCCCAGCAATTTCCCTAACTAGGCTTATGCCCCAAGAAGGTTATTGATAAGAAAGCCTCCATACAGACCAAAATATTTACAGAATCACTTTTTGTGGCAGAAAAGAACTGGAAACAAAGTAGATGCTCTTCTATTAGGGAACGGCTAAACAAACTGCGGACAGAATATTACTATGTTACATGAAATGATGACTATGATGAATACAAAATGATCTACTACAGAATGCAGGAAGCAGAGCTCAGAAAATAATATGCATAATGACAGCAACAAGGTAAATAGAAGAACCATAAAACAATTTTTTAAAAAAGTGAATGTTGCCAAATTACCGAAAACAAGCATAACTCCAAAGAATATCTAAAGAGATTATTTTTTTCCTTTGCAGAAGTGGGAGGTTCACATGTGGAACACTGTTTATATTATGAAATGATCAGTTTTGCTGATTTTTTTCTGTTTATTATATGGGATGGCCCTCTGGGAGGAAGAAAGGGGATGGATACTGGAAGAAATTCTGGTAATGTAAAATCAAAAGATAATAAAAATAAAAAAATTTTTTTTTAAAAGGTCAAAAAAGAAAACCACCCTCATGAAACTTTATTTATGGGTTAATTTTTGGTTTTGCATGGCACATTTAACTCAAGGCTTTAAGTTATCTGACAAGATAATCAGTAGCCCTTTTCCACACCAAAGCAACTGATATACTATGCTCTCTTACTGCAGCAAGAAGAATTCATCTTAGGGAGACCCATGATCATCCACACAAAATGTGTAGACTTCTTCCTGGGTAGGGATACCCTGGAAAAGGGTAACAAAGAGAAACAAACTATTGTGCTTTTTTCTCTGGAGAGTTGACAGGAAGACTATCTTTTCCGAGGCAGGGAGAAGAATACAGTAATCTCTGGAGGAGACAGGCTACCCCAGACATCTGTGAAGCACTCTCTCTGGACATGATGACCTTCAAAACTCACCTGCACCTGTTCCTCACATAGCTCAATCTGTTCACGGAACCTGGATCCACAGAGCTATTACCGCACCTGCCCAGTCGAAAAAAGAAAGTTTAGGCTGACCAACGTGAGAGCTTCCTGTTGCACCCATGAAGCTAACAGACCAGGGACAAGTGGTCTTCAGAGCAGAAGATAAAGCAGTTTGGGAATTACACTGCTTTCTCTAAGAAATGAGACTTTTAACAAAAAGAGAAAGATAGAAAACACCACTGATAATCTGAAATCAAGACAAAAACATACTATATATTCCTTGTAAAAAATGGCAACAGAAGGAGTCTACAGACTAACTGCTTACATCTCTTTTTTCCAAAAATTTATTTATTTATTTATTTTTAGTGAGGCAATTGGGGTTAAGTGACTTGCCCAAGGTCACACAGCTAGTAGGTGTCAAGCGTTTGGTCTGAGGCTGGATTTGAACTCAGGTCGTCCTGACTTCAGGGCCAGTGCTCTATCCACTGCGCCACCTAGCTGCCCCAGCTTACATCTTTAATGCATGATTTTCTTGTTTCTACCACTAAGTGTTTACATTAGCCATTTCCACGGCCTAGGACATTGATCTCCCAACCAAGCTCTGATTCTTATCCTTCTTCAAAGCTCTGCTTAATATTCACCTCCTCCAGGACAGTTTTACTGATTAACTCTACTTAAATCTCATAATTCTTTATTCCACAAAATCTCAACAGTTTACAGTTTTGCACATTACTAGCTCATTTCTACCATGTTTCCCCCATCAGAGTTAACCTTTATATAGCATTTTAGGATTTACAAAGTACTTTACAAATACTATCTCAATTTTATCCTTACAACAACCCTAGAAGGTAGTTGCTATTATTATCCTCATTGTGCAGAAGAAACTGAAACACAGAGAAGTTAAGAGCTTTGTCCAGGGTCACACAGGCCCTATCTGAGACTAGATTTAAACTCGGGTTCAAATTCCTGATTCCATTTCCAACATTCTATCTACTAATAGTATCCACCTAGCTGCTACCTATTAAACTGTAAGCTTCCTGAGGTTACGAGCAACCTCTCTTCCTGTCTCAATGTCATCTAACAATGTCTAGGATAGTACTCAAAAATATACTGTTTATATATTTAGGAACCCCACATTTCTTAAAAAGTTGCAATCACTGAAACAGAATGATCAATTGTGAGTCCACATATGTTGGGAAAAGTATGGAGTCAGGATGACCTGGGTTCGAAACCTGAATCAACAATACTAATTATGAGACTATGAGTAAGTCACTTGGGCCTCAGTTTCCTTATCTGCAAAATGAAGATATCATCTATAGCTCCTACCTCAAAAAGTTGTTTTAAGACTCAAATAAGATAATATATACAAAGTGCTTTGCCAAGTTTAAATTGCTACATAAATGTTAGCTGTTACTGTTATTAGTATTATTGTTATTACTGTTGATGCCTTACCCCTCTGGGTTTAAAGAAATGAATTTAAATCAATCAGTATTTTTTGAAGTTTAAGGCCTCTGATAGTTGATTAAGAAATTATGTACTCTACTCAATGCTGAGTTCTTCCTAAATAAATCCACATCAACTTTCCACTTACCTCATCCGGCAGATAAATGACCTCCTCGAACCCATACACATCCTCATGGAAGACTGCTGACCCTCCTTCTTTACTGTCCCAGTCTTCAGGTCCAAAATTCGACCTGGAAGGGGCAGGGGGGGAAGAAGCTTGGAGTGAACTGCTTTGTGGAAAAGAAAAAGATAAAAATGTAGTAGAATGGATTAAGAGATACATGGAAACAAAGGCAGAAAGACACTTGCAGCCCTAACCAATTTTTAGCAATAGCATGAGTTTGGAATTTGGCACCAATCTAAGAAACTTCTCACTTGTTTCCTGTTTCTGTTTAATGCTTTCAGTATTAATGGAAATGGGCAGCCCTGACCATCACACTGGCCCCCGCTATAAGGGAAGGAGTTTATGAGGAGTGGGAAACTGAATGTCTAGCACACTCAACCATCAATTACACATGTACAGATTATATATGATAAATTTTTAATCTTAGGTTGGCTTTCATCTGGCACATAATATTTAAGCTTAATAAAAATCAATCAACAAGCAATTACTAAGCATCTATGTGCCACTTTATTAGAAAGACAAACTTACCACAAACAGAAACTTTAAAGGGCAAGTATTTCTGATTACGTGCAGTTAGCTGTATCATTGTGATTTTCCCACTGTTACAGAAATCAAGCATTAAATGAATTATTAACTAGATCATGCCACGGTAACAGAGAAAAGTAGCATGGCATAGGGTTTGGGGTGCTGGGCTGGGAGTCAGGTTGACCAGGGTTTAAATATACTCTCTGTTACTTAGTAGCGGTATGAGGTTAGCCTCCTAGAATCCCTCTTTTCCTCTATCGCCACCTCCTCCATGACAGCTATTCCCATCTCTCCTGACCCTACTGAAATCACTTTCTATTTATTTCCTACATACATTCGTCTATGTGCTCTCCACCAAAGAATGGAAGCATTTCATTTTTGATTTGGTTTTCCCAGTACATACATAATTTACCCAGTTCGAAGGTACTTAGGCATCTGGTACACAGCAGACATTGAACAAATACTTGTTGACTTATATAACTGTGGGTAAGTCACTTCACTTCCATAGGACTCAGGAAACTCCCTAGGAATTACCTAAGTCACAAATACGCTGTGACTGGCATTGAAGGAGGGAATTCCCATTCTGGGCAATGGAAAGATTAATAAAATCCTCCAAATATTCATGCTAAAACTATGGAGAATGAAAGAGCAGGCTAACTTGAACTCCAGAGATGTCAATAAGACAGAAACTAACAATCAACAACAAGATAAAGTTATTAGCACTGGCTCACCCCAAACCTTAGCAAACCGTTGAGTTTTATTTCTACTAGAGTCCACTGGAGTCTCTTAAATGACCTCCATTTAGCAATAGAGTCTTGAATTCTAATTTTCTTTTCAGATTTGATGTCTTATTCAGCTCACAGTAACATTTAAAATGAGTTACCTTCCCTAATAAAATACTGATGAATGATGATGTGAAAGGGGAGCCTTGGTCCATTCTAGGTATCAATCTTGGATGAAAAATTATCCAAGGATAAGGCATAAATAGATGATCCACATGTAAACAATAAAGACTTGATTTAATAGGATTAGAGGATTTCTAGATACAGTGCATTTCCTTAGCTCCCTTTACGCCAACACAGAGGGGAAAAGGGGAGAAGAGGGAAAAGGCACAAAACCCACTCCTACCTTATGGCAGCATGACAAAGCACAGGCTCTGGAGCCAGAGGACGTGGATTCTGCTTCAAAACCCTTACCATCCCTTTTCTTTCCCATTGACCAACTACTCAAGTCTCACCAGTCACAGCATTTTCGGAGGTGGAGAGCTGCTCCCGGAGCTTATCCACATCATCTGGGTGCACTTGGTCATAAAGCGTGCTGCCAAACCATTCAGACTGTGGTTGGTTCAAGACAGGAGTCACTGAGTCAGATACATATACCACTCGGCCCGTCTCACAGGACACAATGAACAGAAAACCATCTGCTGCTTCTAGTATCAGGTGTTTCAGCTCCTACCCAAAGTAGAATACAAAGAATTAATATTATAAACTCGGAGAAACCAAATTATTTCCCTCAATGGAGTATCCAAGGAGTCTGGACCTCTTATGACCAAAAAAAGCTTAATTTCAAAGTAGTACCAGGGCTCTATCCCTCATCCACTCTTCCTCCACCTCAATTACAGCTGCACTGGTAAAGTATCTTGTGATAACGTCCTATTAACTTTTTCTATATACATCCACATAAATATCGAATTTTTCTGTATCTTAGTTTCTTCATGTTGAAAAAAAAAAAGACTACCTTTTCTAAAGTTATTTCTATGAGCTTCTACTCTGTTATCTGAATCTTTACGTAATCTTTACAGAAATTCTCCTGTGTAGAACTTGGAAACAAATCTGGGTCCCTTTTCCTTTGCTTAAAATCCCTGTTTAAAGCTCTTCTACTCCAATAAGTCCAACATGATTATCCTCACTAAGCTTTCATTATTCCATCCAACTCTGCTCATCTCTAGCACTTATTTATCTAGCAATATCCAATTTCTATTTCTTCATGTCATTTTTTAATGCACTTAGACTGTGGGCTCCACAAGGCAGAGATCATGTATCCTCTTTTGGAATCCTCAGAGTACATAGTTCAGAGCTCTTTGTCAGAGCAACTGCCCACTGGACTTCCTTCTTTCCTCATTTAAACTATGGCATCATTCGGTATCCGGGACTATTCTCCATCCTTCATAAATGCTTATGCTCAGGGCAAGTCTAAGTCCCTCATACACATCACAGGTTGAATTAGAGATCTCTCAAACTTGTTTCTCTACTTAACAACTCTCCTGCCCCAACTATTCCACCATACTTGGTAAGTTAAGTGTTTGTGCCAAATTCCAAAATCCCCATTAGTTTTAACCAGTCCCTTCCTTACTTCATAGTCCCAACACGAATGCACCTAACAGCCAGGAGCAGCAGCAGCCTAAAGATCAACAAACATGGTGAAGGGATGAAGTTACTATTTTTACTGTAACTCGTTTTTCAGTCTTTTTCCCAAAATTGCTGTTTCCTTCAACACTTCACATAGATTCTCCCCTATTCTGATACTGTCTGGAAAATACAGTTATCTACCCAAAGAGGAACAAAGTTACAAAATGATCCACCCAACTCCCAGGGCTCCTTTGGGGCTAGCGGGACCCAGAGACCTGGTCAGTAAGGAAGGATGGTTTATAGGTGCCATCTGTAGAAGTGTTGCCAGTTCCCCTCAAGGATTTCATGTGTGACACGGCCATGCGTAAGATGGTCAGCTTGTCTGGTTTTCGGGCCAAGGCACTGCAGGTGGGTACCATGTCTGACAGTTCTGTGATGTAAGCTGTCATCTTGTTCCGCCGTCGACGTTCAATTTCACTATGATTTTCCCTATATTGAGAGAAAGGGGAAAAGCCTCACCTAGTAGGTCATACTCAGTCATTTAGCGGCATAATGAAGCAACCTATCTACCAGACAGGCAGCTGAGAGATGTGACATTTTGTTTTAGTAGTGCTAAAGTTTTCAAGAAGTTAGGAGGGATGGCCAACCCTCTCATGTAGATCATGCACAGAAGAGAAAATGACACAAGGCAGAAGAGAGGGCAGGAAGATCCCAGGGTCTCCCTGCTAACCTAATGGAGCCCTTCATTTCACATCCTTTGAAAACTGCCTCTCAGCAAGAGCTGGTAGTTCTTTTTCAAGTAAAGGGCATTGACTTCATTCACTGAAGTTCCTAAGGAATCTCCATTTTCAAGTGGTCAACATTACGCTCATTTGTTAAACTTTTCAAGTGAAGGGTGACATGGGAAAATGACCTGTTTACCTAACATAAGTATCATTCAGAAAGTGGGTATAGAAATGTGACTGTAAGTACAGGTTTTCCCCATGCTGCTCCACTCCTAGCTTACGTCTTGTTCAAAAAACATAAATAGGGCAAAGCTAAGGGTATTATGTTAAAAAGTTATTATATGCTACTCCTGAGACAGAAAGTTGTATCTTCTTTAATTAACAAACTAAACCTCTAAACAAACATTTCACCACAAGATGCTCCCAAAAGGGTTTCTTGTGAACCACAAATCTGAGGCAGAGAAATGAGTGAAAATCATTCTAGAAAACCTAAGGGAGGCCAACCAGTTTATGACTTCAAAGGTGAGGATAAACAGGGGGACCTGGATGTGACTAGACTGTCATTTTTGCTTTCCCAAACTAAAACAGGATTTGAAGTACTTTACTTAGATACACTACAACCACCTCATCTTACATATGAGGAGACAAAGGCCCAGATAGGCTAAGGGACTTATCCAAGGTCCCTCAGCCAGTTAATGGCAGGACAAAGACTCGAACCCAGGTCTACTGAATTCAGGGCTCTTCACATTAGGCCATGCAGAACCAGGTTTTCTAAAGAGTGTGCTGGTTAGTAGGAAATACAGCATGGAATACTAACAAAAATCTTGTAGCAAAGATGGAAAAGGTCAGGTAATAAACAAGAAGGGAAAAAAGCATGGAAAAATGAGTGGAAAAAAGGATGACAGAGCTTTAAAAAAAAAAATCTCATGAATACCAGCTCCAGCTACTCATCACATATCAAAGAAACTTTGACCCATTTTCTGCTACTCTCTTACTAAGTTGGGGTTGACAGCCAGCAAAAATAACCCTCAAGTCTTCCTGTGCAAAGAACAGAGGGATTTCCCCTACATAGACCTCTAATTTCATGACTCTATGTTACTTCAGAACACCTAAAACTCCACCTTTAGAGTGGGAGCAGACACCTGTCTGACAAGTATTTGACACCCAATCCCAAAGAATGAACTTTCTGATGACCACAAAGAAGCTGCCAAAATGATTCTGAGTAGCCACAAGCAAGGCCTCTATCACTGAGGCAATGCAATCCTTTTGTGGCACAGGAATGTGGGCTACAAAACAACACCGGAAACCAGGATAGACGGTTTTCTAGAGTGGTAGGGAAGGAACTGCTGTGGTTTAACATGGCAGGAGATGATCTTAAATACAGAGTATTTTTTGGCATTTGGCTTTCTGACAAGAAAGCATGTCCCTGCCAAAGCACAAACTGGCACAGCTGCTGAGACTGTCAGAGCCTTCTGTTCTCTAATCTCTTGATGCTAGGGTTCAAAGGAAGAATAAAATTCTACTACTAATAACAATTTTCTAAATTTCTAAATTTAAAAATTGGCCATTTTCCCCAACCCACATTATTTTTCTGGGGAGAAGCCCCAAAGGGCTTAATTTCACATCAACTTCCATAAGGTGCCATCTTCATCTGTCACAGATAAGGGAAAGCACAAAGAGGAAGGGAAGTAAAAGGAAACTTTTAGATTGGGAAGGAGGAGAAGAAAAAGGAGCGTTGTTGGCTTCACCACGCTGAACACTGTTCTCCTACCTGGCAAGTCTCTCTTTATCCGCTGAACTCTGCTCATCATCCGACCTAAAAATAAAATTGATGAACTAAGCTAAAAAAATTTTAATAAAGATGAATGAAAGGAAGATGGGCAAAAGGGAAGAAAGATAAAATGGAACTCAGCCCGCAGCTATGCAAAACCACCTGTTAGAACAAAGAAACCAATATGGGAGACAAAGATCAATTTAAAAGAAACTTTGAATGACCCCTATCTGAACATAAAGCACTTTGCAACCTGAATTAGACCCTATTAAAGTGGACGGTAAAGATATAAAGTCTGTGAGAGAATAATCCAAGAGAACTCAGGAGACCTGCTCTGTCATACACTGCTCCCTCCCAATAAGGGAAGGTTACTCAACAAGGTAAGAATTGTTCCTATCTGAACCTGGGACAAGAGATTAAGAACACATTGTCATTAATAGATACACATGTATGCTCAGAGCCACAGAAAACAACAGGGTTGCACTGGAGAGGCTATATAAATAGCATGCAGAGCCCAGTTTCTGGCACTCTCTTTAGTCTTTGTCTGCTTTTCCAAATAACTCCTGCTTTCTATTCATGCATTCCCAACTTAAACAGCTCTCTGCAGAAGAACCACAACACCATGTTCCCCTAGTACTATCCCCTCCTCGGAAGGGGAAACAATGGGTTACCAGTAACTTTTACTGCCACTGCCTCAGTGGCAATTGAAGAAATATCATGCTAGTGTGGCACCGGAGCAGATAAGAGTGTCAGCAACTGATTCTATTTTTAGGATATCTGCTGCTGCTTAAGAAACAAAGCACACTACACTATATTAACATGATGAACTCTTACATAGCTATTACAACTGATATGTTAATATATAGAAATGTTTACATGAAATGTTTCAGTGAAAAATGGAGAACACAAAATAACACATGCACAATGATTACAAGTATAAAAATGTATTCTATACTCTACCAAAAATCAGAAGAAAATGGAGATTGATATAAATAGTTCATTGTTCATTGGGTTCTCCTCCTTCTTCCTGCCCTTAGCAAGGAAAGCAGCTTAATTTTCTTGTTTTAAAAAGCCCATAATTTTTTCTTTTCAATAAAGGGTAGAAAATTATCCCCACACTTGAAGTCTATAAATTCACTCTACTGAAGACTGTAGGAGAGAATGTGAGAGATGCTACACAAGTTCAACTATCAGGGCTTGCCAGTATACTAGAGGACCTGTATTGGGAGAAAAATAAATTTCAAGAAAATTAACTCAATGGAAAATTCAACAGGGCAGCTAGGTGGCGCAGTGGATAGAGCTCTGGCCTTAGAGTCAGGAGGACCTGAGTTCAAATTTGACCTCAGACACTTGACACTTATTAGCTGTGTGACCCTGGGCAAGTCACTTAACCCCAATTACCTCACCAAAAAAGAAAAAAAAGAGAGGAAAAAAAAATTCTGAACCCATTTGGGGCAGCTAGGTGGTGCAGTGGATAGAGCACCAGCCCTGGATTCAGAAGGACCTGAGTTCAAATCTGACCTCAGACACATAACACTTACTAGCTGTGTGACCCTGGGCAAGTCACTTAACCCCACTGCCTAGCAAAAAAAAAAAAAAAATCAAAATCAGATTTTCGTAGGCACCTAAGTACAAACAGTCTAAGTCTCAGTTTCCCGAGAAAACTACCAAAGTGGAATGGATAATGGAAATCAAGGGTCCAGTGGCCATCACTATAACCTGACCTTTCCCTGGCCTGCAGCCTGTTTTTGTCTGCTGGACACTAAGAATGATTTTCTATTTTTAAATACACTATTTAAAAATGTAAAAGTGACCCCTCTTCTACATGTATGTTCTAAAGCCAGATGGGACTTTGAAGGTCATACTGTCTCACACCCTTCTTTTCCAGATAAAGAACTAAAGACCAAAAAGGTTTATGACCCAAGTATATGGGTCACAAGTGGCAAAACTAGTACTTAAACTCAGGGCCTCCAATTCTCAATTCAATACTCTTTCCAACTCGACCACACTGCTCTTGATCTGAACAGCTGCATTACAAGTAAGAATCATATCTTAAAAGAACAAATTTTGTTTGTAGAGAAGCCAGGCAACATCTGAAAGCAGTATACTTTGTGATTTATCATCCTAATTCGGATGGCAAAAACATTCTCCAAATATCCACGACTAACCTACTGAATTAGTGCTGGTTCATGTCCCAATGATTTAATAAGTATCTACTTTAATAAGTTGTGCTAAATGACATAAGCAAATTAGGTCCTGTCAATTCTTCCCCTCAATACATCTTTCTATGACACTATGCTGTCTCTGAAAAGTCTACCACGGCAACCTACTACCGAGTTTATCAAGCTCAATCTCATTTGTCCAGCCTGAGAGGTCTCCCCTAACCCAGCCCTATTCTACCTATGTCCCACTACTCCCTAACCCTCTGATCCAGTCAGGTCAGTTTCTACAAACAAAGTAAAAATTTCTACTTCCATGCCTTAGATATTTTTCCTCAAATGGAAAGGCTTTCTATGTCTCTATTCAAATTCTATTCAAAGTCCAATTTAAAATCTATCTCCTTCATGAATCCCTCCCTGACTCCTCCAGGACTCACAAATCATCATCATCCTTTTCTCTGAAATCCTTCCATACTTACAACCTACCACACAATTAAGCATTTGATTTTATACTGCCTTATGTTGTTCATTATTTAATCTTCCCAAATAGATTATAATATCTTGAGGAAAGCAACCAAGTTTAATATCAATTCCTCACAGTATATAACAAGGTGTTTTAACAAGGTGTTTACTAGACACACAGTTTTGAATCAAACCTATTACACGCTTTCTGATGCAGCACAAAATTAATCTGAAAAATATAAAAATAAAATACTGCTTTAAAATGTACATATCTTCTAAGATGAAAAAATGCATGAATTATAAAAAATGTAAATACCCAAGGAACACTAAAAAAGAATATACTTTTTAATAAAGGAAAAAACTGAGTTTTTGACTAGCCATTTAAATAAACTAATTCTATTTCAAATCATATCTACTCTAGTTCTAGAAACAATCCCATATTCCACAAGGAGTTAATTAACTTCTTCCTATTTTTTAATGATGTAAAGAGAATCTGAAAAGACTTCTGACCCAGGCCCAAAAATATTACATAAACAGATTTTAAATATCCACTTAACAAACAAGTCAAAGCAATTCCACATGACAGTTAATTCAGATTTTGGCTGAAACTGCATGGCACCCAGGTGGCACACCACTTTAACAATAGGAGATGTGCATAAACACAGTAACATATGCCAACATATTTCTATTCACTGTTTTATGGTGAAATGGCATGAATTTTATTAAATAATAGGAACTAGAATTTTGAACTTCTTAGATCTCTAAACAGGAACAAGTCAGAGTAGGCACACTAAGCCACTCCAGTCAGAAGAAAACAGTATGGACAGGGTGCCTGATACCATGGGATAGAGGACTAAGAGCCTGTGTTAACATTACCTGGCAAACCGCTCTTTATCATTGGGCATCTGATCATCATCACATCTGGAGAAGAAAAGAAAGAACAATTTCACTATATTGTGGTCATTTAACTTATTTTTCTCTGAGTTAGAAATGTGGTACAACATAAAGGACATTATAAAAAGGGAGATGATGGGGGAATACCAATGTTGTAGAGAAAATAGCACCCAGGCTAGAAAAGGCCCAACAGATTGTCAATCCTTGCCAAGATCCTAATGAATCTATCACATATCAAAAGAGGCCAAAAAGAAAGAAAATGATCTCGTGAGGAGAGTTGCTACATATAGTGCCATAACCGCTCTGATGGCTTAAAGAGATGCCATGAGAAGGATGGCTTAAATCATGCTTTGAACAGTACAGTTTATTTTTTTATTTAAGTAATAAGCTTGATCCAGTCATCATCAGCTTACCAGGTAGATTCCATCCTGCTTGCTACAACAGAAACAATAATAAGTTCTTATGAAATGAGATCTTTAGTATCTTCAGAGCCAATTTAATCTATATGTGGATAATCTAATTTTCTTTTTCCTCCTTGTTACAGTAAAATGCTCTAAGGCCTGGACAGCATACACCAAAAGGAACCAGGTAAGTTTTTTACTGTAAACGTATAGAAAGTTCCATCAGTTGTCGAGGCTGCACTTTACACTATTGCCTCACAGATGCCCAAATCTTCAATACAGCAGGCCCACAGAAGTGAAAATCTCTATAGATGCACTAATAATGCAGAGTAAAGTAAGCAGAACCAAGAGAACAATTTATGGAAGAACAACATAGTAAGAACAAACAAAACAAAAACAAAAAGTCTTTGAAAGACTTACGAGCTCTCATCAATGCAAAAACAAATCACAGTTCCAGAGGACTGATGATGAAGAATGCTACCTACCTTATGAAAGAGGTAATAGACTGAAGATGCAGAATGAGACATGCATTTTTGGACACAGAAATTTATTTTCTTTAACTATACATACATTACGAAGGTTTTGCTTTTCTTCTTTTTCGGGGGGGGGAGATTGAAGGGAGAGAAAATAAATGCTTGTTAACTGGAAAATAATGGATGTATATATATTTTTAACAAGGCTCAAGTGCAAAAGCAAAATGAGAATAAATGAGCAACCTTAGAAGTTTAATGCAAGCTCTATTAAATTATTTTACTTTTTTAAAGGCAAAGAATGGGGGCAGCTAGGTGGCACAGTGGATAGAGCACCGGCCCTGAAGTCAGGAGGACCTGAATTCAAATCTGGCCTCAGATCAAACATCTGACACTTACTAGCTGTGTGACCCTGGGCAAGTCACTTAACCCCAAATGCCTAATAAATAAATACATACATACATACATACATATATAAAGGCAAAGAATGTGCCACTAAAGTAGCCACTTTAAAATCTTAATGAGCTTGGCTGAAATAAGGGAATTTTTCTTAAAAAGCCACTTTGAAAGGGGCAGCTAGGTGGTGCAGTGGATGGAGCACTGGCCCTGGAGTCAGGAGGACCCAAGTTCAAATGTGGCTTCAGACACTTACCAGCTGAGTGACTGCGCAAGTCACTTAACCCTAATCGCTTCAAAAAACAAACAAAAACAAAACAAAACCAAAAACTTTGAATGTTCTAACAGCATTCATTCTGGACTTCAGCCTCATCCCTGTCCTCCTACACTACCAAGTAAATGACTTAGAATCTATGTTATAGACACTATCTAGAAAATAAAACCAGTAAGTGCACTTTTAAAAGCAATCATGAAATTAATCAATACATCTGTGCCTTATTCCTAGAACTGACCATAAATCACTAGACAGTATAAACAAGGATACTCTAGGATAATTTGTACATATCAAGTGGCACATATTTTTCATGCTTCTACTCCAAGTAGAGATTTAATCAAGAAGTCATAGAAGTGCACTACAAATGAGATATATGCACATGGGCTGTTAAGGGGTCCCCTGAGCATGCAGGAGGCCATGAATATGTCAAGGATGAAGCGCCTCCCCATTCCCACCCCAGGACATAATTTGTTGTTTGCATCTCCCAACCGGAATTCCCTGTGAGTCCTTGGGAGGCAAGACAGGTGATAGCCAGTCTGTGCCAGACCCAGAAAATGCTTTTGCACCTGGGGTACTTTGTAGATAAGCAGATCCTCCTATCTTCAGTTTAGTGGTTCTAAAGGGAAAAGAATGCAGCTTCTGCCATAGCCTTGCTCCTCCCCTTCAGAAGGGGTTTTGTCCTTTCCCACCTTCACTGCACCTTTCCCCTCCCATGCCACACCCCTTCCTGTTTTCTCCTCCTCCTTTTGTTGTACTGTCAAAAATACGAAAATTTCTACAAGGACTGTGAACTCTGGGTTCCACATGCATGTTCATTTCTCTTGTAATAAACCTGGTTTTCACATAAGTCTGCTGATGCTGTGATTGGCTATTGAGAGAACCAATGTATCAACCTGCTAAAAAACTGCTCTAGACTACTTAGGCTAGTATGGTATGAACATGCCAGGAGAAAATCTACTGAACTGTGCTTGCTTCCTATCAAGTGACTAACGACAGCTTAAATGAAAAAGACCTGGAGCTTTTGGGGACTACAGGCCAAAACTAAAATATATCTGCAAAGGTCATCTTAGGCTGTATAAAGGTATATTCCTTAGAACAAGGATGTAATAATTCCACACTTTGTACTGGCCAAATCAAGTCTAGAATATTTTGTTTGGTTCTGGATTCTACATTTTACTAAGCACATTGGGGAAAAAAAGAGTATATATAGAAGAGGGCAACAAGATGGTAAAAGGCCTGGAAATCATGCCATATGGGGGGCTACTAAAGGAAATGGAGATGTTTATTGCTGAAGAAAAGACGTCTTAGGAGAGAAAATACTTGTATTAAAATATCTGCAAGGTCATCAGTGGAAAAGAGATTAGACTTAATTCTATGTTAATTCCTGAGTGCAGAACTAGGACAGTAGAACCAAGGCAGAGTGATACAAATCATATTTCGACTTCAATGTGAACAGGACTTTCTAGCAATTAATTGCCTTCCAATGGAACCGGCTGCTTTCTAAGGTAATTAAATAAGCATCAATAAAAATGTTCAAACAAAAGCTTCATGACCTATCAGAAATATTTTAGAAGAATTCCTACAATGCATTGAAGTGTGTGTCATGACATAAGTAACCACTACATTGCAAATAACAACCACTTCCCAGTTTACAAAGCTTTTTCCCCAATAAGAACACCATGAGGGAGGTAGTACAAGTATTATTATCCTCATTTGACAGACAAAAGAGACAGACAAAAGAACATAGCAAAGCCAGTAAGTACTGGAACCAGGATTTCAACCAAGATTTATTGACTTAGGGTCCAAGTCTCTTTCCACTGGAACACTTGACTCTCATACTATGTTACATCACACCTCTAGGTGAGAGCAATCTTTCTGAGGAAGGGAGAAAGGTTAAATCAATCTGCTGGTTTTTTGTATTGCTTCTGTATAAAGGAAGTTGAGGGTTTAGGGCTAGAATTAACTTATCAGTGTAAATGGACAACCGAGTTTACAGGGTAGGGGAGATATAAAAATTATTTGTAGATGTTTCTTCCTCATTAGTATTGTCCTAAAGCGTACCCTAATGGAGACATTAAGCAACTCTTTAGTTACTAAGGAGCTAAGAACCTAAACTATGTCTCTGAAATTATGATGAAAGGTGACATCAATAACTACATGATGTTTAAACAAGCGTATTAAGTCATGGCATGTAGTTAAAAATTGAACCCCTAAACACTCAAGCAAGATTTTCAGAAAAAGCTCCTTTATACTACATTAAATGCTAAGAAAACAGCTCCCTTATAATGCAAGGAATAATCTGGGTGATGTTAATATATCTGAATAAAGGAAAAGGAGGTGGCTAGCTAAAAGCTTTCTCCCTTCTGTGGCCCAATCATAGATCAAAAATATCTTGCATGACCCTATAATAACAGACTAAGCTCAGCTCAAGTGCTCCAGAAGCACCCATAAATAAATGGTGTAATTTCCAAACTCTACCCTCAAGAAGCAGAAAGTAATTAGGGAGGCTTGCAAAGCCTATCAGTCTCTGAGCACTAGGTCATTCCTCTGGAGTTAACAGGATGCTTGAGCATCTTCTCAAAAAGAAAAGAAATATAACACATAAAATTATGTAGTTTCAACCGTGGTTATGGGATCTAAAGTTATTTTAAATTCCAAAAGTCTAGGAAATGAGAAAAAAAATTCTTACCTCAAAAATTTACTGTTTCCTTCTCCATCATCATCAAAATCGAGCCTGGAAAATTCCAAAAACAAAATGTTTAAGATAGCTCATTAACAAAATAATTCCTTACCCACCTGTTGTCTCACCCACACAGAAGTAGGTGTCTAAGAATGAAAAGAAAAGCGACAAGGGAAAATTATAACAAAGCAGCTTCATTCCTCCTCTTTGGGTCAAAACAAATGGAGATGAACCTAGGAAAAGAACAACCAAATATGTCATTGTACTTGCATTAAGTGAGTGACTGACCTTTAAAAAGGTGTATCCAAAGACTGATTTTGCATGAAACCTTAAACAGAAATTAAGAGATGACATATCATGAAGAGTTTATAATACTCTACTTTCTGACACAGGGCTTCAGTAAGTACCAGAAAAGCTCATGTGAAGGACTGGTCCCTGATACATTGACACAATCTATGGAATATCTATCACTTGCTTTTCTGAAACACTTATCCTATCTCTAATGCCTAGAATAAATAAGATATTTCTCTTGAGAGTAGGTGATCTAGAATGCAAGAAAGGTTGTTATACTATATTACTTAAAAATGAGAAAACAGAATCAACTCAGTCTCCTGTCTAATTTTTAGGTTGATTCTAACTTTAAAATACCATTAAATCTGAAGATTGAGGGTTTTTTGTTTTACTTCAGTTCAAAGGGAAGATGTTGATATCTAAAAATGAATAGTTCAAGATAATTTAAGTGAAGATAAGGGGAAAGCAATTTACTGTTATAACTTTTATTATAAACCATATTTTAAAAATGAAATTGGTTACTTTGACTGACAACATAAAACCAACAACATACCAACAAGTTATAAGAAACAGTCTGACATTTTCAGACTTGCACTTTAGGAAAATCACTTTGGCAGATGAATGGAGGATGAACTGGAGCGAGGAGAGATTTAAGGTAGGCACACCTACCAGCAGGCTACTGCAATAACCTAGATGTGAGCAGATGAAGGCCTAGACCAGGGTAACATGGGAAACCGTGGATGTGGAACACTACGTATATTTTAACATTGGTTAGTTTTGCTGAACTTGTTTTTTTCTCCTCTATATTTTTATTCTTTGTGATAAGAAATGGTTTTCTGGGAATGGAAGGGAAAGGGATATATTGAGAAATGAAGATTATATAAAAACAAAAGATATGAATAAACATAGTTTTTAAAAACAAAATCAAAATGGCTTTATAAATTCAGCACAGAGGTCTCTGAAGGACAACCAGCCAACATCTTCCTCAGCCCTTGTGTAAAACTTCCTGTGTGGGGAAAAAGATGAAGAACTACACCCAGTCATATACGCATAAAGCAGCAAGGTGCCCTGAAGAGACAGGAGGTAAGCTGTACCAGGCAATTCAACCCAGCACTACCACCTTGACCACCACTTCCCCTAACACCCAGACATAGAAAGCCCAGGATCCTGACCCTTAAGCCCAGCCTCCATTTTCATTGTCCAGGGCAGTAGCTCCTGTGGAAAAAGAGTCAACCATGCCCACCAACTGCTGACCCACTGCCACCGAGAAGAAAGGTATGCCTGCCTTGTTGAAGCAGTAAGGCACCCCGAGAGAGGGAGGAGGCAACATGTGTGCTAGGCAAGTCAAACCATCACAACCTCAACTATGACGTGATGGAGACAAGCCCCCGACCCTGAGAGCCTGCAGAATAGCAACAGCTCCAATCTTGCCTCCAGTCAAGGCCTTGCAACCATCGCTGCAAAGAGAAAGGCCCACCTTCCTGGCCACCACCAAGGAGGGCTACCACCAACACCAACTGCTAACCCACTGTCCCTGCCAGGTGGGTAAGCCCAATAACCTGAGAATGACAGCACTCAGTCCAGGCCTCATACCCACCATTCTGGGAAGCAACCTCCATGGAGAGGCGCACTGGGTACTGCTCCTGCCAGTGCTGCAACCATGGCTATTAAAGACCCAGAAAAGAAAGTTCTTGTCCCCAAGGTCTTGGCATTATCAAAGGATTCAGAATGAGAAACTGATGTCATTATCAGTGGAAATGACATTGAACCATCTGGTTCAATCATTCTGGAAAACAATTTGGAATTATGCTAAAAAGGTGACAAGAATACTTTGCTGCAGTGCCCTAAGGAAAGGTCCCATGGTTCACCTGAAACCCTTTCCATGTATTACGTCACCCAATGAAGCATGGGCTCTTTTCTATTTGTATCCAAAGCAATTAGCACAGATGCTCCGAACATAGTAAGTGCTTAACAAATGCTTTTCTATTCATTCATCCCCCCCATCAGTCCTCAGAGATCTTTGGCTACTAAACTATTTGTAACATATTTTTTAAAAATAAAAATCAGTACAAACCTTCAATTCCACTTCATACCAAATCTAGCAAACAGGACAGTTCAGTAGCAGAACAGTGGGGAATGGCCAGAAACAGCCGAGGAGTAAGTGTGATTCTGAAACTAAGCCAATTCTCTTACCGACAGATCAGGCACGAACTAAATGAACACACTCCAGAATCCGAGCTTCTCAGTTTACAGGAACCCTCAACAACATCTCATTCTGTACTCTTACTCACCCTGGCCGACGCTTAATAGTCCGCTGAGTGATGGCTCCCCCACCTTGAACTCCAGGTCCAGGGTTTCCAGATACAATGGCTGCACCCAATGATGAAACATCTGATGCCATCTCTGTTAGAGAAAACAAAAGGTATGATTTTTTTTAAGCCCTTTTATTATCAGTCCAGATTTCAAGTGAGCTGATGAAAGTCAATTGTCAACTAGCATTTCTTAGGCACCTATAATGGTTATATAAACTAGTTTCTCTTTCCTCCTGCAACATGGGGAAGGGGGGATAGATTTGGTGATTCACATTCCAGCTCTGTTATCCCTGAGGAACCTCAGCCCAATCACTTCCCCTTCTGAGGCCCTGGGAGAAAGCATAACACAAGAGAAAGAACACTGGATTGAAGTCCTGGCACTAGAGTTTCCTCCATGTGGAATCTTAGACAAGCTATGTCTCCTCCCTCTGCCTCAGTTTCCTCAGTGGTAAAATAAGGAAGCTGTACTAGGATTCTTCCTCTTTGTTTCACAGGCCCTGTCTGGCAATCGGTCAGGTAAAGTCTAAGGACTCATTCAGAGTATAATGTTTTTAAGTATAAAAAAATAGAATACATAGGATTACAAGGAAATTAATCATATTGAAATACAGTTATCAGAATTTGGGGGGGGGGAGAGTCAATGGGGGGGAGTGAAATGCCCAGGGTCACACAGCTAATAAGTGTCTGAGACCTCATTTGAACTCAGATCCTCCTGACTCCAGGGCTGGTGTTCCATCCACTGTTATCACCTAGCTGCCCTAGAATGTTTTAAAGCAAGTTCACAGCCCCCAGGTTAAGAACTCCCAACTAGGTAATACCTAAGGTCTCTTCCATTAATAAATCTTCTACACTTACTTTATGATTAATACATTTTACAATAAAAGTGATTTTAAACACACAGGTAGCAATAATTCAGTCTACATTTCTTCTGATCCTTATGATTATACATTCTGGTTGTTTTGCAGTTTTTCAGTTGTTTTAGTCATGTTCAACTCTTCATGACACTATGTGGGGTCTTCTTGGCAGAGATACTGGAGTGGTTTGTCATTTCCTTCTCCAGTTTATTTGACAGATAAGGAAACTGAGGTAAACAGGGGTAAGTGACTTACCCAGAATCTCACAGCTAGTAAGTGTCTGAGGCCAGATTTGAACTCAGGAAGGTAAGTCTTCCTCACTTTAGGCCCGGCACTCTATCCACTGTTCCACCTAGCTGCCCATACATTCTGGTACACACATATATTTTGTTTTTTGTATTAGCTAGCCTTAGGAAAAAAAACACACACACCAGTTTCTCACATCCAGATTGTCTTCATTTTTACTTAAACTCTTAGTTCGAAACAAGCTGTCTCCTGATTGCAGCTCTCTCCTCTCTGGGGCTTATAACAGGGTACACTGCTGCAGGCTCCTTCTCTCATTAGTGAGTTCTTCCCAGAACCTCCATTTTTTTTTTTTAAATTAATTAATTTTTAGTTTTCAACAATTACTTCCATAAGCTTTTGAGTTTTAAATTTTCTTCCTCTCCCTCCCTAAGACAGTGTGCAACCTGATATAGGCTCTACAGACACATTCCTATTAAACATATTTTCACATTAGTCATGTTATAAGGAAGAATTAGAACCAACAGGAGGAACCACCAGAAAGAGGAAACAAAACAGAAGGAAAAAAAGAGCAAATAGTATGCTTCAATCTGCAAAGTCCATGGTTCTTTCTCTGGATGTAGACAGCATTTTCCATCATAAGACTTTTGGAGATGCCAAAACCTCCACTTGGGAGAAGGGTCTCAGACCTGCCACCCCTCATTCTCTGGACTTAGCCACATGTCTCAGCCCAAAAACTTCCTTTCTCCTTCAGTTTTTCAGTTTTCTTTTTATGTGCTATCTTCCCCCATTAAGAATTTAAGTTCCTTGTGGGCAAGGATTATCTTTCTTTTTGTTTGTATTTGTATCCCCAGCACTTAGCACAGCGCCTGGCACATAGTAAGTGCTTAATAAATACTTGTTCACTATGTTCGTAAGAGATGTTCTTGTCTCTTAAGGAGTGCAAAATAAAGAATTAACTGGGCTAGGTTCAATGCTTAGGTCAGTCAGAGAAACTAGGTTTGCATCCCAGCTGTTTCTGTCTGCGTGACTCTGGGCAAGTCACTTAACCTATATGGGCTTCAGTTTCCTCACCTAGAACATGAGGTGGTTGTAGCTCTAAAATACTGACTACCATGACTATAAATTGAGAAGTTTTCTAGCATGTCAAAGAATAGCACAACTAACGCACTTAGCTAGTGTTGAAATGGAGTGCCTTATATAAAGAGCAGAGTTATGGTGAGAAAGGCAGCATGAGAGAAAGGAAGTGAAGAATTTTTAAAATTATTAATATGGCTTACATTTATGTATTATCTTCAATACAATATCTCACCAAATCCTCAAAACCTGGTAAGGCAGGCCATTCAGGTGTTGTTATGCCCATTTTACAGATGAAGACACGAGGTTAAAACAGTTATTCAAAGTCCCATAGCTGGGAGGGAGAGGAGCTAGGCCTCAAGCCAGGTCATCTGATGGATTCTTTGTCCTGCATTCTTTCTACTAACTGGATCTTAGCCAATTTAACCTACTTTTTAAAAAATCAATATTCTCTTGGAAAGATCCAGCTTTAAGTTAAACTACTGCCAAATTCAACTTGTTTTCCTAAATAAGAAGGTGGAATAAAATTTAAAATAAGGAGAGTAAGAAATTAAAAATACATGACTAAGGCAGACAGAAATATTAAAGGTGCTGTGCCAACATAAATGGCTAATTAAAGGAATCAGTTATCCAAATTTTCTAAACTATGACCCACCACTTAGGCTGGAACTTATTTTTCTGTATTTTTTTTTAAATCATTTCCTAAGACTACCTCTAAATTGGATTCAGAGTAAATATAAAGTATCTGCCATTCTGAGACACAAACTGATAAAAATCATTTGTTACGGTGATGCAAGTACATCAGTGGCAGAGGATAGACCCAATAACTGTAAGCTTTTGATATTTGCTCTAACCACCAAACAAGCATGTTTCTCACTGTAGATACTTTGGCAACTCATTAAAGATGAGTTTTTACAGTTTAAGTCTTTGACTAAGACCAGGAAGAATACACTTTTTTTGTGTTTTAAGGCATAAGTTAAAAAGTTAAATTATTTTAAACTTCATCAATTTCAAACATATTAGACAATTAGCCTAGCATCATGAAGTTTAGAAATTATTAAATTCAATCTAAGAAGTTTTTCCCAGATGTTAAAATGTACTTCTATATGCCACATGTTAGGCATCTTTAAGAAACATTTGTCTCTTGAGAACTGTTCTCTGTTCTTTACAAGTCACTTATACGAATAGTTCCCAAAAGAATGGATTATATCAAATCACTAATAAGAGAAATGCAAATTAAAATAACTGAGGTTTTACCTCACTCATATCCAGCAAATTAGCAACGCTATCACAAAAATGGAAATATTCGATATTTAGAGGGGCCACAGAAAGACAGGCATACTGATATACTATTAGTGGGGCTGTGAAATGATCTAACCATTCTAAAAATCAATTTGGAATTAATTAAACTAAAAAAAGATGGCAAAAATGTCCCTATCCTTTGATCTAGAAATCCCACTACTATGAAAATACTGGCATTCAGGTGAAGTTCAGAAAGAAAGGTCCCACATTTCAAAATATTAGTGGCAACACATTTTTGTAGTCACAAAGCATCACCGATGCTCATCAATTGGGGAAAAGCTAAACTGTAGGACATGAATGTAAGAGAATGTTACGCCATTAAAAACGGAAATGAAGAACTCGGAGAAACATCTAAAGAGTTACATAAAGTGATACAGAGTGAAGTAGAAAACAATACACAATGACTACAAAAATGTAAACAAAAAGCAACAAAATGAAACTAAATACTGTGTAATTATAATGGCCAAGGCTGGCCCTAGACTAGAGAAGGGACCAGGAAATGCAGTTTCCTCCTTTCTTTGGAGAGCTGGGCCTATGGATCCCCTAGCAGAACATTATATATGGTGCCAAACATGAACTATGTGTTGGCTGGTTTTGTTTAGTCTTTTTTTTCTTTGTAATAAGATGGGTAGGGGCTGGAGTTTATTTAGAAATGAGTGAGATATAAAAACAAGGCACAGCAATACTTTTTAAAAGGAAAAAAACCATGTTTAATTACATAATCTTTATGAAGAGTATATAGAAAAGAACAAAGACATTTCAAACATAAGGTAAAGTCATTATCTGGAAAAGAAAATTCCTTCTGTATGTGCAGAAGATGCTAACTGCTCTTGGGATTCAAAAGGAACAGAAAATACTCCTCCAGTTGAGGAAATAAAAACTATATGTATACATGAAACAACTAGAGAATATTATGACTATATTCATTCAAATGTGAGATCACCAGACCATAGGATCATCTACTTAGAAAAAGAAAGGACCTCAGAAGCCTAGCTTTCCCTCATTCTATAGACCCTGTAATTCCAGGCTCTGATAGTTATGTTTTAGAAACATGTGAATACCTGTGAAAACATGTTAAGCATGTAAGCCAAGGGTGGGGAATCTGTGGCCTCGAGTACATGTGGCCTTCTAGGTCCTCAAGTGCAGCCCTCTGATTTGACCTTGATTTGATTTGACTTTGACAAATCCCTTTGTTCTGTGAAGTTTGGATTGAGTCAAAGGCGTCACGTGAGGACCAAGAGGGCCACGTGTGGTCTTGAGGTCGCAGGTTCCCCACCCCTGGTATAAGCCATCTACGGCTTGTCCTCTGCAGCTCCTGTTCATGTTCTCCCATAAATCCTCTGCCCAACGTGGGAAGGTCAGGTCTTTCTGTAGATCTCTCAACCTTGAGGGTGCACCAATGGAATATGTGGACTCTACACTCATCATTCCTTCCTCCTCCTCTGTCATTCGGCTGATAATAGCTTTCACACCACTACTCTTACACAGTGCTTCACTGGCACCACAATGGAGCCTATTTGCACCCACAAAGCACTTCTCTGGTGCCCTCTGAGTGGCCTTCAATTTTAATTCCTTGGAAATTGTGGTATTCCATGACTTAAAGTCATACAGCAGC